ATTTTTGACGCTTTTTATAAGTTTCATAAAACTTCAGTTTGTATCGAACATTAGATACATCTCGTTAAGTCTATTTTAGAAAACCTGAGAACTATTTCTAGCTTATTAAGTCATTTGCATAGTCACATGCTCTTGATGAGACAATCATTTAAAATCATCATTACATAATGAAACGGAATATTTCTTTGAAACTGAAACCAACCGTTATACACGTAACAAATATTAAATAAAACAAATAAATGATAAGATGACAAACTTATGAGAGACGGCGAACAAACAACTATTTAGAATTGCGTAACGAACTATGTAAAATGCAAATTAATTGCACTTTTTTCCGGTTAATAAGTGCAGAAACTAGAGCTTAGAGAGTGGCTGGAAATAGATTTTTTTAATACATACTTAAAGTTATCTTTATTCCTAGAGGACAGAATATTCATAGGGTATAAAAAGGTAGACTTAATTATTATGTTTTTCGGCTTATTCAAGTAATTATTTGCGAGGAACTCGACTAGTTTCAAGCCATGCTAGAGGCTCATATATTCATGAGCAGCATTCCAGTCGAGTTCCTCCTCAAATTATTACTTGAGTAAGTGGAAAAACATATTCATTCATTTAGTGTAATATATCATACGACATACGATTTAAAGTTCATATTTAAATGACAATGACTGGGCTGGAGCCGTCTTTTCTAAATGTGGGATATCCTTTATCTGGAATGAGACTTATTTATACTGATTTTTTTTATATCAAAAAAATAATTTCATTATAACTTCAACATGTTCAATGTTTTTTCAGAACCGAAGTTTAGTTTCTACATTCGGAAGATTAATTACTTCCATACACTTTATTTATTATCTAGATTTTAGATAAATATTAGATCTAACGACTGTAAGGTAATTAAAACTGACTTTTATATAAATAAAAGATTTCATTAAAATTAATTCCAATGCAGATTTATGTAAATGACTTAATTGGCTGTTGTAACATAAAATTGTAAATTTGTAATAAAAAAACAAATTTAGTCTTTAATTTAGAAAAATAATATACCTACACAGATTCTTGAGAGAAAAAGTTAGGAAATCGAAGGAAAATAATAATTTTAGAGGAAAATTAAAATCAGACTAATATTATAAATGTGAGTTTCTTTGTTTGAATGTTTTTCCGTCAATCACGCTGAACATACTGAACGGATTTTGATGAAATTTGGTATACAGGCAGGCAGGTTATGGGCTGACATAGATGAGAGGATATCCGATTTTAATCCCGATTAAAATAAATGCTCCCATAGAATAATACAGGAATCATATTCTACGCTGACAAGGTCGCGGGCAACAGCTAGTAAAATATGTCACAGCTGATCACATCCAGTGCCTAATTGACATATTTTTATGTTTACAGTTCATGTTGTTATACTAATCTTACTTTCATTACCAAAACTAGGTTGGTAATTGTGTCACTGCGTCACCTGACTTTTAGTGTACTCATCTAATTGTTCCTATTGTTACGATATCTTTTGAATGTTGATAGTGATACACGAGCATTTTTATATAATCTCATAAAATGGGCTCCTAAGTCTATAAACTCTTGGATTAGTCCATGCGTTTAAGCAATATACACTATCCTTTGTCAATTTTTATATAATCTCAAAAAATGGCCTCCTAAGTCTATAAACTCTTGGATTAGTCCACGCGTTTAAGCAATATTATACACTGTCCATTATCATATTATTAAAGTATTTAGTTTAGTTATTTGTTAGTTTTGTAATAATCTGAATAAATGTTTTCTAAATAAAAGAAAATAAAAAATAGTTAATACAAATGTAAAATACGTAAATTATGGCTTAAAGATCCATAGAAATTTCTATACCTTATTGTAGGGTAAATCAGGGTGCACGATTTCGCATCTATACCTGCGCATCAACAATCGACAATAAATTCCTACATACACAACTCGACATACGCATAAAACGTTACATACCCAAGTATATAACAACTTAAAATATGTACATACATTTACATACTTATAATTCATAGATTTTTTTTTTAATTTAAGGGATCATCGAATGACTTCTCGCGCCTGGGTGAGCCAGGAAGGAGTGTCAGACTTTTACTGAGTAAAAACCACCCCGTTTCTACTGCTGCACTTCGAACCGGAGCCCCGGTGTTTCATACATATCTTGGCAATAGTATTAATTGTCCTAGATCCATAGACTAAAAGTAATAACAAAGCTGGCGACATATGAACACGTGCACAGTTGCAAACATACCTCAAATGTGAAGTGTAATTATTAGAACACAGTACTATGATTATAACGCATGCATTCAACATTTGTACAACGTTTCTTAAGCCCTGGCAAGATGTAAGTAACCTACAAATTGTCAAGAGTTGTTCAGTTGTTAAACTTTAACATAGAGATTCTATTTCTAAACTAAGAGATATCCAAATAAAAAAAAAAACTATCTCTAAATCTAGAGGTCCTGGATAAAATACCATTGAACCCACAAGACTCTTATTATTGTTTAACAGCCTTGTACGCAGTATTTTGGATTACTGTAGTGTTGTGTGGAGGCCTCATTTTGCTACACACTCACTTAGACTGGAAAGAATACAGAAGCGATTTATGTGGCATTTGGCTAAAAATAGTAAAAAAACAATATCGTACAAAAGTAAATTAACATTACATCGAATGATATCACTAAGCAGTCGTAGGGAAATCACTGACTGCTTATTCATGTATAAATTAATAAATAACATAATAGATTGCCCAACCCTTCTGAAAAAAGTCAAATACCGAGTGCCTGCCAAATACCCGCGTAACCGTATCGCGCTTCTGTATCCACCTCGTCGCAGGACTGTCTTGGGCGCTAATTCTCCATTACCAAGGCTGAGTAGATTGCTGAACGACTGCAGTGACTTAGTAGATATTCACACGTCATCGTTGGTTGGGTTCCGGTCTGCGCTGTTGAAGCACTTATCAACAAAGAGTTGACTGATGGTGTCTAAATCTACGAGTGTATAAAAGTCGTTACCACACGCATGAGAAAAATTTACTGTTTTTTGTTTTTTTTTATATTGTTCCTTTTATTACTTGTTTTCGTGTTTAAAATTAGTTTTTATATACTTAGTTTTTTATATACCTATACAGGTGTTTTGTGTGGTACACTTGTGTTTTGCTTTAGTTGGTACACAGTAGCACCGAATATTTTTTTTTCCTGTTAAAAATTAATATCAAGTTTGTTTTAGATGTAAGATAATAATTTTGTAAATGCTGTATTTACCTATAAGTATTTGTTACACTTACTGTAAAGAACTCACATTTGTATCTCGACAATTGTATTGGTGTAAACAAATGTTGGTAAATCATAAATAAATAAATAAATAAGACTATGTAACTGAAAATTGTATTGTTATCCTTATTGGAAAAGAGTAGGTAACCTATGGAGTTTCTTGGTAGTTGTTCTCTATAGGAATCTGCACCTTGGAATGAGTACATAGCTTCACTTTAATTTTTTGTTGACGTTCAAAAGTGCCTTCCTGGTCTAATTGAAATAAATGATTTTGACTTTGACTTGAAAAAGATGGAGATGAGCCTCCTTGAAAAGAATCCAGGCATCCATCCATCTATCCTGCAACCGTATTTATGTTACCTGACAACAGATATTGAAGAATCGATCTTTAACTCGTTGAGTACCATATTTATAGACACAATTAAAGAACAATAGGTTGCGGTCACCGGTGACCGCTCGGTGTTTGACAGTTTAAGCAAGAGTTAAGATTTTTAATCTTATGACTGGAAACATTCTGCAACCACACTGATCATAAATCTATATCTGTTAGTGTGATTTTCAAAAACTCTTACAATTCTATCAGGGAATCGTAATCTAGTACTTATGTCGCGGAGAACTTAACGGGTTACTGGGGCTCCAGCTCGACGTGCAGCAGAAGGAACGGGGTGGTTTTTAGTCAGTAAGAGTCTGACACTCCCTTCCGCCTCACCCAGGCGGGAGCAGACATTCGATGATTTTCCCCCCTTAAAAAAAATCTAGTACTTATGACCAGGATATACACATCAGATTGGTCTATTATCCAGGTAGGCCTTCATATTCAAAAGTATTTTCATCATAAAGTAATTGTAGTTGAAAATGTTTGATTGACAGCTCAGTTTATGGGGCATTGTAACATTGTTTCATTCAGCACAATCTAGCCTTTGAAGTATTTCGGTTTCATAACATCTTATTGTTCAGTTAACACTAAAGGTATAATACATTGTGCTGAGTAATTTCGCGTACATAAAGATATAGTAACCTTAGTAAGGACCTTGTAAGTAGAGTAAGTACTTTTGCGGTGCCCAAAAGGGCCTATAGTTGGAAAATATTTTGTCAAAAAATTGTAAACCACCCTGTACACACTGTAGATGCATTAAAGTGATTTGAATTTGAATTTGAATTTAACTACTCACTCTGGTTTACCAACGGTGCCACCTATAATGAATATTTACCTTTTAATTATTTTACTTTTCAGTGCAGCCATGAGCAGTGTTTAAAATTAGTTTTAGTAATATAGATTTGACGTAGAGTCTAGTATTACTATAAGTTCTAGTATTTTTTTCTAGTATTTCTAGTATTACTGTTACAGGCAGTATTACGTCTATTACATCCTGAAAAGTTCAATATGCGTTTTTATTTAAATTGTCTATCAGTATTATTAAATACCTTTCATGATCTCTAAGTGATGAGACATCAACACTTAGACCAAATCATGACATAACACAAAAGACGGTTTTACCTAAATATATATTCCGTTTAGTTTCAAGTGTGTGAGAGCCATGCTTCGGCACGAATGGGCCGGCTCGCCCGGATTGATACCACGGCCTCACAGAAAACCGATTTGAAGCAACGCTTGCGCTGTGTTTCGTCGTGTGAGTGAGGTTACCGGAGGCCCAGCTCCGTCCCCTCTTCCCCAATCAAATCATCCTCAAACAAAAACTTTTGGTGTTCCAGGTGTCCATGGGCGACGCCGATTGCTTACCATCAAGTGATCCGTCTGCTCGTTTATGGCATATGCCATAGAAAATACCACTATTAGCTTCAATTAGTCAGTCATGGTTTCGACAATGAACATACAACACGAATCTAAACATAAAATAAATTATACCCAAAACTAGATGTTACTTCACACAGAATGCACTAAAAGCATTAAATTTACAAACTATTATTTCGAATGACTAATTTCAATTATTTATTCAGTTAAGCAATATTTTGATCTTCACTTCGCGTCCAATTAGTGATGTTCTGAAAAACATTTGTTACGTAACTATTTCCGAAACAATGTTCCGTTCAATTTAAGTTGAACTTAACAAAATGGTTGAAGAAAGTGTGAACATAAATAACAATGGGATACAATAGTAACAGTTGATTTAGAAGAATGGATGCTTTTTGTTTGAGCTATAATGAGGAGAAGAGCGGATGTATTAAGTTTATTGCGAATCTAAAGACAATCGGTGCCTGTGCCGCTTTGACGTCGGCTATCACATGATTTGATGTAACACCGTACAGTACAGAAGCCAGAGACCTTCCACCTTATCACAAAAGCATACAGTTCAAAATAAATTAAAGCGATTTAACAAATTAGTGTAGTTTCATATGCTGCTGTCTCTACATTACAAATTCAGTATAATTAGAATAATTTGGACACAAAGCAATAAAATTTGAATGTAATCTCTGTAATTTGTGTTGTAATTTCATATTTATTAAAATACTCACGTGGTTTACACAGCTGGTGTTAGCAATTAAGTGGCTATTAGAAGTAAGGTGTAATTATAAAGTTTAAAGAAAAAGTAATTTTTTTTAAAGACTGATCTGCATAAAATGTAATACAAGTTCTTTTCTTTTGCGTCCAAGGCATCAATAAAATATCCTATGGGCAACATGGATACGGAAAAATGATATTAGACCTCGAATATCAAACTCCAAGTTTCGATTAAGACCTTAATAAAATACTCTCCGATGAAAAAATTACATATCTTACGAATTACATTATTTTTAATTACATTATTTATTTCTATTTGTGGAAATAAAAATAAAGCGTAAAATAGGGGTCGTAAGTAAGAACCTAATGAAACATTTCTAAACGTGATCAATTGAGCAAGCGCAAATAAATAATGATCGTTGCTAATAGATACAGACTGTACTATGCAAGTAGAGGAGCCGCGGAGGGCTTAACGGGTTGCCGGGGCTCCGGTTCGAAGTGCAGGAATAGGAACGGGGTGATTTTTAGTCAGTAAGAGTCTAATACTCGGATATTCCCTCTCGCCTCACCCAGGCGGGAAAGCCATCGGATGATTTTTTAAAAAAATGCAATTACAGTCACCAATATAGCTTTGTGAAAACTTCGGAGCAAAAATATGTTCCTATATTGTATTGACTTCTTATGTACACTATTGACTCACAATAATTCATTATTAACTACACCCGAGTGATTTTACTCACTGCTTGGCTTCTATAGGTCGAAGCATGATGTTGTATGGCCTTCCTCGACAAATAGGCTATTCAATTAAAAAATAATGAATAAATAGACTATTCAACACAAAAATACTGATTCAGTTCTAGCTCGGGAGATTAGTTCAAACAAACAAACTTTACATTAACTAAAAATCGTGGGTTACTCACTTGAATATACTGAGAAAAGCTCTACTAGTTTCAAACCACAGAGGGGTTCTTCCTCATGAGCAGCGTGCGCGGTCTCGGCGATGACAGTAGGCTGTGCGACATCGCCGCATTTTTAGTTAATTTAGTATGTCTCACGATAGTTATTAAAAAAACAAACAAACTTTTCAGTTTCTAAATACTCTAGGGCATATTTTTTTACCGTCAGATACATTTTAACTGAGAAATAACTGAATATTTGTCAATTCCTCCATAAAGAACTGTCAAATGTAATTTTTTTATTCTACATAACATTTTCTACGTACTAATAGATAGGAGTGCTCAATGCTGAAATATATTTATAGAGTACTTCACTTTTGACTTTTCTTCTAAATTTCGAGGTCAAAACTGACTCTTACCTAGATTATATTAATGAAACCACCTATATTTATAGTATATCAGATCTATTGTACCTAATATTTTTAATATAGGTCTATAAAGTATCTTATGACAGTTTTATTGTAGTCACTGCCTCTGTGGTTACAGTTAAGACCACAATAAGAACAGGTTGGGGTCAATGACCCACTCGACAGGTCACACTTAAGTATTCATATGTATATATATGATCACAATGGAAAATCACCACGCGAACAACGACATCTTCATCAGATATACAGACATATTCATATTTAAATTAAATAAAAATTTCTATTATGTGATAAATACATAAATAAAATATTTGTTTGGCTATTGTTATATAATTGGCTAATCGACAACACAACAACAACTTTTATATGCTGACGGAGACAAACGGTAGACGGACACACAGCATATAATAGACTTACATTTAAAGTTATATTTGATCTAAGGCAAGCCCATTCAGAGCCGCGGAAGACTTAACGGGTTGCCGGCGCTCGGGCTCGAAGTGCAGAAGTAGGAACGGGGTGATTTTTAGTCAGTAAAAATCTCATACTCCCTACCTCGCCATACCTAGGAAGAGAAGTCATTGGATGATTTTCACCGCTCAAAAAAAAAAGGCAAGCCCATTAATATATGCTATTGCTTCGCGGAGAACCTAACGGGTTACCGGGGATCCGGCTCGACGTGCAGGAGAAGGAACGGGATGGTTTTTAGTCAGTAAGAGGCTGACACTCCTTCCCGCCTCACCCAGGCGGGAGCAGTAATTCGTAGATTTTCCCCACTTGAAAAAAAACTGTATTGAAATGTTATTATAAAAAAAAAGAATGTATGGTATCACCCTTAGCTAGCAGCTAACATTCGGAGCTTAACATGTAACAACTGACAATCAAATTAGATTAATACTAAGCAGTGTGAATAGCGACTAGCTAGCAGGAACGGCTATAGGAGAAGAAATTTGTCCTACCCATTATGGATCAAACTCAAAACGGCGAAGTCCCACAGTGGAGCTTATGCCCATTAAACCAAAGAAGCATCAGTAATTCGAACAATAACGTTTTTTGTTTTATCATGAAATTATCATACCATGAAACGTGATTTTCGTATGCATATGCTGTAAAAAGAGAAAAGATGTAAAATTTAAATAATGTCTTTGTTTGACACAGAGGATGTATTTATTTATTGTTGAAATTCTTGAAAATAATATTTTATTAAACATAAACTTTCATTTATTTATACGAAACAAATGATCGATTTCACTTATGATTTCCCTCAATAAATAATAATAAAAATAAACTATTTGCAGTAATTGGAGATTATAATTTTGTTCGGAAATATTTTTGAATATGTAATCAATGCACGTAAATCTTGTTTAACTCGAAACACGTTTAGATTGGCTAATTGACCATCATCTGACAAGATGACTAAGCGAAATTTCGAGTATTGACGAAAGTTGGGATTCTATATGCACACTACGTAATATTGGAATTAGAGTAAATATAGAAATCTATTAATTAAAAAATAACCATTTGGATTTATATTTAACTAGCTTTCACCCGCGGCTTCGCTCGCGTCACAAAAGGATAAAAAGTAGCCTATGTGACATATATCAATACACACAGTGCCATCTATTACAATACTTTTGTTTTCCCTCGGGAATATCAATTTTTCCGGGATAAAAAGTACCCTATTATTTAATCCAGACTTCTAACTTTACGTCTGCAAAAATTCAAAGCAATCGGTTTAGTAGTTACGGCGTCAAAGCGGAACAAACAAACAAACAAACTCACTTTCCGATTTATAATATTAAGTAAGGATTTTTAGCTAATAATATTTATTGTTTAAGTGATTTCAGTATGGTGTTCCAATTCTATCACATTTTGTTATTAGCCCCATTGCGTATTAAATACCATTTAAAATTGCAAAGTTCTAAATTCAAAAAAGTCTGACCGACCCAGTCACCGAAGGTATATAGTGCATTACGACAAGGCCGCAATTTTTGCTTTCTAACATCCTACGTGCATACAATACTATCGAACTCATTGTAACATAATATATAAACTCCAAATATCGCCGCTAACATCTATACCTCTATATTACATTATTAATGTATTAATGATTAGAGAGGGCGTATGGCCGGGCACGTGATTTCGTGAAAGTTACAAATTCGCATACATAACAGAGAAACTGTGATGCACACAATTTAATATACAAATAACAGAATGTGTATCTCTCTATAGTAATAGTTGTGTTCTCCGCCTTGTTGCTCTTGTGATTGGAAGATTGACAGCAGAGCGTGAGGTTATGGGTCGATTCACAGGTCGTGTTATGTGTACCAATTACGATTTCCGCACACTAGGATTTTCTCCTGTGTCGTGGGTGCGTTTACAAACATACAAGTTCATATACACATTACACCCAGACCCGGAACAACAATCTGTGAATCACACAAAGAGTTGTTCTGCGCGGGAATCGAACCAGCAACACGTTGCGCGGCAGTCGTTTGTCACTGTCACTCATATAAAATATTTTCTTTTTTTGTATATTGTTCTTGAAATGCAGCGACGTTTTTTTCAAAGGAATACATTAGAAACAATAAACATTTTATTACACAAAAAATTTAACATGCGGTACGTATGTAAGATATCTAGTTTCATGATGATATAATATTGATACATCATTAAATTTAAACTCACGTTACTTCGCACGCTTCGAAGACAAATCGGCGGATGAACGTTAGTCATTTCGTAATTGACACAAATACGGTTTACCGATTATTTTGGCGCAACTCTTAAGGACTCGAGTTGAATAAAAACTGTTTGAACACAGTTGCATCTGTCTACGGTTGCGAAAACATCGGGCGTTGCATGCTCGACTCTCGTTGTATAAATAAATCGAGTCACTGATCATTCGTGTCGTAATCGATTCCATGGTACGAGACAAATTATTCGATCCGCTCACATAACTATC